GAGGAAAAACTGTATGGAACATTATGGAAATAATTTTAAATAAAAATGTGTACAATCTTTATCGTTAATGGTTTTCCAGGTAGTTTATAGTAACGATGGCTTGCGCCCCTCGCAGAAGAGCCTAGTTCGTGTCTTTAGCTCTCTCCTTTATTGCCTTCTGCCTGCGTACTTCTAAGGGGCGAACATTTTATATTACAAATGTTTAATTTCAATGGAGTTGTGTTAATATATGAGCCGTTTACTTTGACAGTGGTCTAAGTCCATTTTAAAAAAAAGTCGAGATTTGATAAACATGAATTGCACGTAAAAGATGTTAAATCTTACCATGAAATATCATAGACCAGAATGTTTTAAAAACAAAACTTCTATATTCATAACCTCGGCTAAATATAAAGATACGAGTGATTTATTGCCTTACATTCCACCTGTGCACCACAATTATTTCAAAACTCTTTCTCAGGGTGTCAATGAAGGTGTTTTAAACTAACAAATTAAAAACCGTGAATATTCTTTTTATTTTTAATCTATAATGTTGTTTAAAGTTATATGCAACTTTGCTTCGCATAATTGCACGAATAAAAGATCAAAATTTTTGAAAATATAATGTAATTTTTTGGACAAACCTCGAAGTCTAAGCAATTAAATATGATTTAAGTCTGTGTAGTCGTGATAATTAATGGAAGACGTAAACGGCTATAATCCGGAGACAAGGTCACATCGGGTACACCTTTGCACGAACTTTTTTCCTTATTTCAGCGTACGGAATCCATCCCCGAAGTTACGTCCACATGTTTCAAAACACGCTGTATAGAATGCAGACGAAAAGAGCGGGAAAAAAGCTACGCATAACCAGATTGAGCGCACTTTTATTTGAAATTGACTCGAGGGACAATGGAGTCTGTACGTGGCGAACGAGGAAAAAAAAAGCTCCGTTTTCCACGTGCCAGCTTCAGGCGCAAGTTTGTAAAGTTTTTTTTTTTTTTTCAAACTTTCGCGGATCTAACGCGCAACTGTAAGTAGCGTTTCAGCAGCGCTCTTTCGATCCGACCGAGTAACCGTGCAATTCGGTGGAATTTTTTTTGTCCCCAACCATCTGCTTTGTCGGCTGGTCGAACGAAATATCGCGGAGTGCGAGCGGACTGAGAATCGTGTGATATATTACTTTAATCGAAAACTCTGTCGCGGTATGTGCAAGGGAAGTGGACGCGAAGTGGACGCGAAGTGATCCATTCTTTACTTCCGATGAAACTCGGAACACGAGATTGCAGTCATTTAGCTTGATGGAGCTCGATTTTGTTATCATATATTCGTTTGCTGCGCGAATATTCATTTGGATAATGTACACGAGAACGTTTCTCTGTGCAAACAAAGAGCAAAAATATTATTAAATCGTGTAATTTCGCTTTTACAGTATTCGAGGAATCGACGGTTTCGAGTAGGTCCCCTTCCCCCGGTTTTCTACTAACGTTAATTGTTGCTTTATAGAAACGTAAATATAATATTATTATGCTCCGCCGGGGGTAATGGAATTAAAATCGATATCCGTTTATTATCGATATTAATTTAGCTTTACAGCATTTCACGGTGAAATGTTTAAATGGAATTTGTCAACGGTGGAATTTCCAAGTATTACTATCTATTGTCCGAGATTTTTCTCGTTTCTTCGAAGGGAACGCAGAAATTCACGGTAACGAGAAGTTGGTTCGCTTATCCGGACTGCGGCAAATCGTACGTATATTAATTGGACCAGACGAATTATTCATAATTTGAAATACTGTTGTCTGTTCCGCATTAAGCAATTAATGTACAGGTCTGATTCTCAACTACCTTTGCGTGCCGGATGTTCTACTTTAGTAATTACGAACAATTAGAGAATTACTATCAGTTCCAGGAATTTCCTGAACGTTGAATTTCTCCACTTTTACTTTTACACCGCCGCCGCCTTTTGCGAACTACCGCCCCACGGAACGTCAATTATTTACAGTTCATTCATCGAAACTAATTAACAGTTTTTACGGGACTGGAAAAGTGAACTTATCGAACCTCACACACACGTTGATTTTCATGAAAATTATGTGGGAGGGGAAATATTAGACACGTATGTTTTTTTTTTGTCGCCAGTCGTCTATATCGAAGGGGTGAAAAATCCCCTGAAAGTTGAGCGTTCAGGACGTATTTTCTGGAATATCTCGAGAATTATGGGATTTGGAAAAAAAAATTTTTTTTTTTTTAAAGACCCCTCAACGTGGACGATTGCCGATAAAAAAAAAATAGATACGTGTCAAGTATTTTCTCGCGAAATATCTCCCGTATACGTAAGTTCATGAAAATCGACGTGTATGAGTCCGATCTGTTCCCTCGCAAGTTGTGGCCTGGTGATTCTCCCAATTTTTAAATTAACGGTGTGCCAAAGAAATGAAATATTCAAGTGACCTAACTTTGAAAATAACAGACACGTCGACCGTATTGTAAACTTCGAATAATCTGTTACCCTAACAGACACAATGCGAAATAACATTTTTTTCACTTTTTTCCAAAATAGTTTCTTCGCAGGTGAAGTAGCTGGGGCAATTTCAAGATGAAGTTTATTTTTTTAAAACGGAACGCTATAATTTTTTCTAATGTAGCACAATTCTTCGGTACGAATGAACAGAGGTTGAATCTTACATAGAAAAAGAGTGTTTTTTGATGATCGTGTAAGATTTATAGCAGGGGTGGCCAGCTACACTACGTTTGGAAGCAACATCTCAGGAAGGAATATTTTGGAATTATCTTTGATAACGAAACAGACAATGAGAAACTGAAAAATCAGTTCAATTTTTGAAAGTTTACCCACAGATCTTCCTTGAATGAAATAAAATAATTACTTTTGGACATTGATCAGTTTTAGTTTACCATATTTCATACGTACGTTTTATTTGCACAAGAGCCGCACCACTCGCCTTCGAGAGCCGCGCTATGGCCACCCCTGATTTATATACATCGTTCAAAATAAGAGTAACCTCGTTTCGCAGGTCTAGAACACCACTAGAACGTCCAAACTCCCACTTAACCGCCTACGTTTTTCTCCTTCTTACTCTCTGTCTATGCGCAGAACAGAGGAGAATCGGTCCGAGAACGAGGTTACTCTTATTTTGAACGATGTATAGTAAAATTTAGGTCCTCGTCTCAGATCAGTTTCAGAACTTGATCTCTCTTTCTATATTTATCTTTTTTACCGTATTACTTAATTTTCAGCTGATCATGATTGCTTGCTAACAGAATCGATCAAAGTGATCGACAGAGTGTTACAAAAACTTGGACAGTTAAAAATAAATCGATATGATATTATATTTATTTAGGTAGAATTAATTTGGTTATTTTTAAGTTTAACTGGAGACCGTTGATTTCAACTGCGAATTGAATTAGTTCGAGCAATCGATAATCCATTCCATCTTTTTCCTTTTTCTAGCAAATTTCTATATTTATACCGTCTAGTTTCTTTCATTTCTGTAAGTAATTTAACAATGGTATGAGAATTGCGGGGAAAGTGTTAAAGGAAGAAGTGCGTTTAAACACTTATTGCAATAATACGATCTTATCTGGAAGAATTGATTTATGTAGAAAAAATGTCACAGTTCCGTTTAAAAAGGTAATGCAATTATTTATTACACACGCGTCGTTACAGTGGCAGAAGTAATTGTATCATTTAAGCTTCTCCTTTGTTATTTTCTGCCTACTTTCGCTGGGGTAAATGGTACATCTTGCCCTCTTTCCCCAGAATCAACCTGTATCATATTTGATATATCATTAAGACCAACGGACTACAGTTTTTATTTTTTATTTTGTTTCTATTATATTTCCTATATAGGCGTTTTCTCCCGACGGCAACTTAATGACGTGGGAAAGGGTGTTCACCAAAAAACCCTTTGCGGTTCTATGTCGAGTCTGATTCGACGTAGAAATTTTTGCTTTCAGATGTCGTACAATGATAAATTATCAATTGTGAACGACAGTAAACCGTTTTTCCATGCATTGACACGTTCAGGGCGACAGCGAAATTCACGAAGCGCTCGCTAATGTCAGCGTTTCTTATCACCGAAGTGTGTATTATTATTAACACGTTGACTGCCACGCCAGATTTACATGTTGCTCTCAAAGTTTTCAGTATTCTAAGCATAATATTGTATTATGCTTTATTATTATTACTTTTTCTCTTTTTTTTTATTCAAAATAATGTCTAGTTAGCTATGACGTTCGAAATTTTTAGTTAACGATATTCATTTTATTTTCACTATTCTAAACATTAGATTATTGGATTATGGGTTTTATGGATTATTAAATAATTAATAAATTCTGATTTCAAACTGTAATCTTTATTATACATAAGGAAGGTTCGCTTTTCTACTTGCTAGCAAGGGCACCTGAAAATTGCCTGCGACCCCGCTTGGGACCGAAGGGCCTTTTGTCGCGTATCATAAACACTTAGGTCTAAGACTAAACAGATGTAGTAAAGCAAAACGGATTTCCTGGAACGCATACAGAAGGAACATATACGTCTTAGGAAGGCTTTAGATTTAATTTTTGTTATATTTATCTGGCTTATAAATCTAACACTGATGACTGCCGTGACCCCGTCGAGGAAACAATCTCCGGTCACAGGTGACCAACGTGGCAGTCAACGTGTTAATACTTAATTTTTCAGTGTGTAATCTTGAAAATGCGGCGATCCACCATCTACTCAATCCTTTTTGCCATCATTTCGAATGACCCATCGCAAACAAGAGCATCGATGCCCCACCGTCGGTCACACCGTCCTGAACCTGTTAGTATTCTACCGAAACTTCATATTTTACAACTAATGTTACGCTGAAATATTGAAACAAAGACGACCTATACACGGTATTTGCCCGACAGTGGCCAAACCAAGTGCTGACTAACCGGGCTATCCGGACCGCAAAGGGTTATCTTTCCTTTTCTGCTGTCTCATTAGTAATTGCTGCTAATATCCTCTGTTCCAGCATCACTGTCGGCACTGCGGCAAAATTTTCTGTAACGGTTGCAGCGACAATTCCATGCCTCTACCAAATTCAACGAAACCTGTCCGCGTCTGCGACGAATGTTACGTGTTCCTGGCTGGCCGATATTAATACATGTACCAGCTAGCAGCACCACGACCGTGTCTGATCCATCGAACAGAAGGTGAAAATTCTTCGTCTGCAACGGTGGCGAGCAACGAAGTTCAAGAGAAAAAGCGGAAATAATGAGAAGAAAGGAGATCTGTCTCGCACATATGTACACACACATACACTGATATACATGTACACACAGTGTCCCCGTAGACCGTCTTTTTTTTTCTTCTTTTTTGGGCATTCAACTTAATTCGAAGTCGTTTATTTTCAATTCGACGCACGTGATTGTCCAAAAAAAGAAAAAAAAAAGTAAAATCCATCAACACGATGCTGGTTCGTTTTACGTAGAAATTCCTTCTTTCAGCACAGTATCATCGCACGACATTTTGTTAAAGATTTGGCTCGACGTGCAGCATAGAACACGTACAAAGAAAGAATTGAACTGCTGTTTAAAGTAACATTTTTCTCATCCATTTTTTACGATATAATAAACCAAACTGGTGAATCTCGATCGTCGAATTTATACGCTATTAGCTACGTGAATAATCGAAGGACAAACGAATACGTTGCTATGTGATTTTGTTTCTCAAAGTTTAGATGTCCGTAGTAGATTTTGCGGAGGGCTGTTACGAAGAGACGCTTAACAAGTATTTTGTATTCATATTATTATATGTAAATCCGCCCCTTGGATTGATATTGTGAAAAATTCCCAAGATTTTCCTTCGAAACGCGTGCCTGTACAATGATATTTTTCAAATGTTCTGTAGCCTTGAGGAAAGATTTTATGCAAATAAAAGGCTGGTTTTATATTTGTCTTGTTGCACGTTCATTTCGTTCCTGTATACCAGGCATGGGCAACCTATCCTGGTTCTGGGGCCAAATTATCATTCTCCCTCCGAGTCAAGGGCCACACTAAATGGGTTTTCGCGTGTGTTTTTATGTATCGACATATTAATATCTTCGATGTAACTATGTTTGTAGCGTCAGTTATCTTATTAGAAGACGCACGTGTCAGAGACGACGCATTTAGCGGCATAGGCTTCTTGTAAAAGAACGTTGTATCGCCAACGAGCGGAACCTTAAAATCTGTCGTTGGGGAATAGGCTCGGCGGCGTAGAAACCGATGGCAAAGGACCCGACGTCCTGTTGCCGAACACAAAAAGGACCGGGTGCACGGGGCCAGTGACCGACGTCATCGATGCTTCGTAGCGCGTACAGAGAAATAAGGATTCGGAACAAAGGATCTCGTCACGAAGTGGGGAGAGTCTTGGGACTCTGGAAAGAGGACTGTGTCAAAAAGGCACGGCACTTACCCGAGAACCTTCGGTGAGAAAAGAATTCTAACATGTTTGATACAACTTTGGCTAAATATTAAATAAAAAGGGCTAGTATATTAAATAAAATTGTAAAATTAAATACGATACTAATCAGTACCTAGAGGGCAGAATTTAAAGACTTCACGGGGACGGATCGCGGGCACAACTAAAAGAAGTCGCGGGCCATATGTGGCCCGCGGGCAGCGAGTTGCCCATATGTGCTGTATACGGTGTAAAGTAATTGCTGAGTCCTGGCTTTCACTGATGATTCTACGTTTCCTGATCGGCGAATATGTATGTTAAAATAATTTTCCGTAAAATTGACCTTCAAATTTCTTTTTTATCATATCGTATTCTATCGTATATTCATTATTCGAAATTTGTGAGAATCATTAGACTTTGAATGCTGCTTTCAGTGTCTTCATTTCGGCATAATTTATTTGCTAAAAAGATTGTTCAGGTAAAGGTAAAATTTCATATGTTTTACATGGTCTTCTGGGCTCTATCTGGTCTTCCTCTTAGACAAATAAATAAATATAGTTTTCAACATCAGTTTAAATAAATCCTGACGAATATTATTTAGAACAGACAGCCCTGTACCGTCAGCAATGTATAAAGTATATAGCATCAACCCGCCAATTTTAATTGTTAAAAAAACATTTCCCTTGCACCAACCTAATATATTTATAAAATATTTCCCACCTCAACCGATCACCGAAACCAAACTCAATATCGCAAAGTACAGTGAAACTTTCCAACAAGATGTTCGAACAGTTCTAAATCACGCAAAAATACCATCGAGCGGGGAAAGAAGCGGATCTTTTTAATATACCTGACGCCTAGTCTGCGCTCTTCTTTTCACATCCTCGATTACCACTTGCCTTTCATTTCGGGCAAACGTTCGATCACAGGACTCGTGCAGTGCACAATTGTCCTCGCACGAAGAAGATTACTGCGACGCCCCGGTAAGAATTACTCCCGTCTAGCTTTCACGCAACGATCAGTCGGTAGAATCGAACGATGGCGAAGGAAAGACTGGAGAAGATACGTTGACCGGCAACTCGCGAAAGCGATAAAGCCTAGATATCGTTGGAAAGTTTCGTGAACGTAAAAAGAACTCGGCCGGCTTGAATCGCCATAATATCTCCATTCAGAGGCGTTAAAGAACGAATCGCGTTCGAGAGGAGTGACCGAGAGAGAAGCTTCCAGCCACGCGGAAACCGTGCCCGTAGAAAACGTCGACCATAATGTGCAATCTACCTGCCGAACGTAAATCTGTTTCTCAGCTGCATACACGCTCTCTCTAATCTTTGCGGGGGAGAACCGCACGCCATACCATCGACTTGCCGCCGCCGCCGTCACCGCCACTGCTGGAAAAGCAGTAAAACAGTCCCTGGCCACCTTCCACGGTGCTCTTATCCTTTCTAGACGTTAACAGTGCCTGCCACCACGAGATTGTGCGATGTATCTATACGTGTACAGCAGTATACGCGCGCGTGCACGTATAGGGGGTGTTCTGTCTTAATAAGTCCTGGTTTCGTTTACGAAGCTAACCGAATCATGAAATTCATCGACGAAATGTTTAATTTCATAGAGGGTGTCGAGTTGTTCTAATTGGTAATCTGGTGTATTATTGTTAGAAGTGTTATTCCGATTGATTAAATTCAGTATGGAAGAATTGACTTTTTTAAGGGGACGTACTATCTCGAGGCTTCTAGAAATAGGTCATTTTTGGGAATTTTTTTAGAGGTATCTAGCAAACGAAGAGTTTCAATTTTTTCGGAAGATGTAGATGTAACTTTCAGCTTTCTTCGTGAATTTTTAGAATGAAAAATGTTGCAACATGAAGGAGTTATTTTGAAACCTATTACTGGCCGCCATTGTCGGCGAGGATTGAAACGTCTGAAATAAAAGATTCCCTTTGTTTTATAAACGAAAGTGTAGCTTACGATTTTTGCGATATGTCAAATGTTTAATATTTTAGATATGATTAAAATTGATTTTATTTTTTGTGAAAAGAGGTTTTTCCTATTCAAACTGCCACCATTTCTATGATAATTACAATTTTTGTAATTTGTGATACATTTTTATTTTTCCAATAAAAAAGAATTTTTTACTTCAGACGTTGCAATCATTTCCAGAGATGGCGGCCAGCAAATGGGCAGCTTTCAGCATAGGATTTTGTAGGATGTAGTCTTTTGCTTTATTCCTCGGTGTGATAGTTCTATACCTCAGGACCAGACAGACGCAAGACCTCTATTGTAATCTTACAGCAGAACAAGGTAACATCACTGATTACACATAAAATAACACTGTATTAGGGCGATGCAAATATTATACAATGTCGTTTCGTTAACAGTTGAAATTGGCGGATTGACATCATGTATTAAAATTTTATCGGATAATCAATCTTTATGCAAAATAGTTAAGAAGAAGGAATTTGCAGTAGTGCGCGCGTATGGAGTACTGAAGAAATGCATAGTACAATTGTTTGGACATTATTATCTCATGTGACGAATAATTGGGATATCCGTGTAATTTTTTTACACAAGTTTACACTTGTAACTGTTCCAGGTAACTGTCACTTCTTCAAACACCTGAACAATTATTTAACAAATAAATTATTCAGAAATGAAGCCACTGTAAAAGGTAAGACACCGAAAGTTCAAAGAATTCTTTTTTTATAAATTTGGAATAATGAAACTAATTAATCGTTGGAAAAAGTGTACAGAGTCACGTGTAAATTATTCTCATTAAATATATTATTTTTTGAAGAAACACAATGTACTTAAATTTTCATCTCTAAAACGTCGCGTGGTTTCACACGCACCAACCTAATACTCGTAGTACTTCAAGCAATGAAATCTTTTTTATTCACCGTTTACCGCAAATAGGTCCTTATGGTTCCAATAAAGTAAAGAAAGAGAATAATTCAATTTTGAGAAATAAATAAATTTGGGTTAATCCGGCTCGAAGGTATAGAATTACAGTAATTATCGTGTTCATGCTATGTGTTAACGCTCGTTGTCGGATCTCAATGAGATACCTGGTCGAGCCTTGTAGAAATTGCACGTGATGTGCCGACTAGTGTTCAGTCTGTATTTCTCGAAGGACCACTCTTACGTATAAGAGACTATGTGAATTATATTATTCTTCGCCTGGTGTTCCCTTTACTATTGACTATTCTGAACTATTCTAAGACACGTTTACGCGTGGTTTTTAAGGTATCGGTGATGGCACTGATTGGTTGACAGGGGAATGGAAGTGGAAAACGGGGTGACAAAAATGCGAATGTTCAATTGGTGGATGGAATTTGTGGAAAGGTAGCGGGAAGGATTCGGAGCGGGGGTGACGAGCGACTTCTCACCCCTACGGGGAAAGGCCCAAGGTGACGTCAGCGCGATACCGTTGATCGGGTCACCGTGGCCGTCCGACTCTTGGGTTCCCTAAAGTTTATGACACGGTAATTTCTATTGAGATTTAACACTATGTACACACATTATCTCGCGTTAACCCCTTAACATATGACAACGTGTCAACAAAAATAGTTGTATTAGTAAGAAAAATGAATTGTAATCCTAATTTTCGTTTGAATTTGTAAGACTGAGGGATTGCTAAATGTAATTAATCTGTGACAGAATAGTTTTTGTTACCCGATACAGTACTAAAACAGAAAATGGCTGACGCTTAGATGCACAGTCAGAAAAGAAGTCATACGTTAAGGGGTTAATTACCAAGCAATCTACCACCGAAAGAAACGTTTTTTCAAATCGAACAGACCGAACAACGAAACCGTCTTATTT